CGCTCAAAAACCATCAAATATATAGCATTAATCAAGTTAAGTATTCGCTTAGTAATTATGATAATAAAAGATATTGGTTAGATAATTGTAGCAGTTTACCGTTTGGTCATTATTCAATTAACCAATAAAATCTCGTGCCGATTATATTTTTTACTTAATCCATCTAATTTATAATACTTATTGTTAAGTAAATCCTTACCAACAAGTATTACCTTATATTTTCTCTCGCTCCAATGGTTGAAACTTTCTTTCTTAGAAACAAAATTTCCCTTACCTTTGCTATAAACTTTAACAGAATCTCCCTCAGTCACATTTGGATACTTTCTATTATGCTTTTCTTTCAGTATTTGGTTTGCTCTAACATCTAAAACATTGTCTAAATCGTGTGCTTTGTTTGGTGTTGTTTGTGTGCTACTATGTATTTGACTACTATTATATTTCTTCAGTGATACTTTCATCATTTCAACCCATGACCCTTTATGATGACGAAGTCTATCACTAATCATTTTCTTAATTGTTCTAATCATTCTCACCGCTTGTGATGCATGAGTTTTAGTAATAATTAATTCAATTCCTTCACCTTTCAAATAATTCTGTATCTTCTTACTATTTAATGCTCCTTCGTCATCACTATATATACTAAGTGGATAGCCTAGAACTTTAAAACATTCCAACATAGCATTGAAAAAAGTTTCAATATCATTAATTTCCATTGGAACTATATGACACTTTTTACTGAAAATATCGATACAAACAAAACCAAATTTAGGTTGATTTTTAACATCAACTCCAACGTCATTTAACAAACTTGACATGACCATTAAATCAATTTGGAATTCATATTTTGGAAAAGGTGCCGTGTATGAATTGTAGTTCTTATAATTTCTTGTTTGCTTGTTCGGTTGAGATTTCATCCATTTAGAAACATAATCTAATGTAAAACCTGCTTCAACTTTATTCGCTTTTTCATATAAATCTCTAACAGAACCGAACCCCTCATCAACATCATAATATAACTTTTTTAAAATTTCATCCTTATCTAATTTCCTACTCATTATAAATTACATGATATTATTTTTTGAATAATATCAAACAATTTAAAAATTACATGATATTATTTTTTTAATAATATCATACAATTATACTAAATGCTTTTGACATTTCTTAGACTTCTTATGTTTTGATAAATTTGATTTACAACTCAATTGACATCCGCAAATATCACAAATACATGTTTGTTTTGTCTTTTCTTTATAGTATGTTTTAAAATAGTTATCATCATTTGGTTTCCTATTGTAGTATCCGTTATCCTGTTTTCTCCATTCAGCATTTTTTGTCTTCGGTTCTTCTTCTGATGATATGTCGCTTGTTTCTGAACTAATAAATTCATCATTTCCTATACTGTTCCATAACATATCAAACATATCATTAGTCATTGTCATTTTCACGCCATTATCAACAAAATATGACGGCATTATATTTTATATATTAAAGGTGATTATTCTTTAAGTGATTTTTTATTATTTTCCTATAATTAGACTTTTATTTTATTATTATTATTATTATTATTTATTTGTATTATTATTATTATTATTTATTATTTTTATTTATTTATCATTATTATTATTATTATTTATTTATTCTTATCTTCATCATTTTATGTCTAAATCATTTTTGTTATTTCTTATATATTAATTCACGGTATAATGTTTGAATTGGTTTTATATCGTCCTTTTTGTTTTTGTTGTTTTTCCATTTATCAAACATATCTTTGTATTTACTAAATTGATTTTTTGTTATTTTCCCTTTGTTCAATCCTTCTTTGAATGCTTCGTCCAACAGTTGTATGTTCATTCTTGAGGGTGCTGTTTTGTCTTTTTGTATTGTCTTTTTTGGTTTGGTTATTTCAGGTGTCTTGTCGTCTTTATCTTTGTCAGGTTGCAATCCAGATGATGCACCTTGCGCTATTTCAGGAGTGTGCTGTATTGCTTTTAGCATCTTCTTTTTTTCTTCTTTGTTCGTTTTACTTTTTGCTTTTGGTCTCATCTCTTCTGGTGCGTCTCGTTCTTGTCGTTTTTGTGCGTCATCTCTGATGTTTTCTATCGCCATTGTCTCGCTTTCATCCATTGTTATTGCTTCCAATGGTGCCTTAGCTTTTGCTTTTGCTTTCGCTTCTGCTTTTTTCGTTTTTGATTGTTTAATTACATTTGCTACTGCCTCTGGCGACTGGGAAGAACTTGAAGCAACTGTTGCGTTAAGATTTGCCATATCTTGAAATGCTTGTGTTCCTTGAAATATATTTGCTAAATCTTGACCTAAACTTTCATCAGTTTGTTTCATTCTTTGTAACCTTTGGTTCATATCATCAAAATGTTGTTTTCTAACGCTTTGAGAAATATAACTGATTTGTTGTTCGTGGTGTTCTTCTGCTTCGTCCATTGTAGCATCCAGCGCTTCTGTTGCTTCATCTCTTAAATCATCCATTTCATCGTCCTTCGCTATATCAAACTGTTCTGTTTGATTTTTCCCATCTAACATTTTTTGAAAGTGTTGTTGTCTCAAATCTACTGTATTATTATCATAAACTGTTCCTAATGGACTATCACGAAAATAATAAGCGTTTCTGTCTATTACATCTCTTATATTCTTATTTTTAAATTATTCCTTTGTAATTTCCTTTATCAGTTCATTATAAGACGGTCTTAATCTCAATTGTGATTTTAATGTTTTCATCTGTGCATTGTCTAATCTCATTAGTATATTAAATTAATTAGATTATAATTTATTAATCTAATTAATCTAATTAATTTAATCAAAATTAAAATCTTGTCTTAATTGATTGATTATTCCTTTCTTCTTCTTAATCATTTCTGAATAGGATTTACCTGTTTCACTTGATGGATGATGTCGCAATGTTTCACCTT